AGGGTGAAAGTTAAGATGCTCAAATTTTTCTGCATGAATCATTATTATTTTTATTTGAGAATTCGTTTTTTTAGTTCGGTTATTAGTTATCTTATATCCTAAAAGGATATCATCTCACCCATTATCACTACAATTAAGAGGCGTCCGATCTATTTTTGAAAAACTTGATTTAATCAAAGAAAAAAGCGACTTCACTTCAGAAATGTCATTTTTTACCTCGTTTATAAACTCCGAGAATTGTGTAATAATTTCATTACAACTTTTTTCCAATCGTTATAAATTTGTATTCCATGCTGGGGACAAGTCATTATTCTTTGATTAGATTGTGATATCTATCTAGGCATTATCATTATAAATTCGTTTGTGATAATAAAAACATGACCGACATTTAACTTTAGTAAATTTGCTACAATTTACTACAATCAGTATTTAATTCCATCTTTAGTTTCCCACTTCATAAAATGCGTTTATATCGATACATGAGCATGGATGTTTGAATTTAAATTTAGTGTGGCCAAAAAACTTCGATTTTCTTTATCCATTTGTGAAACGACATTTGATAAAACTTTTTATTTAGATGCTTGATATTTGAGGTTAGCATACATTTCAAAATGCATTTACTATTTATTTTGTATTGCTATCGTTAGTACTGGAGTTCCCTATATAAGTTATTACATGATGTAAATGTACCCCGGACACTACAAATTACTGTTGATCCGATTCGGATGATTTCGCCATCATTTGATTCATCTTGACTAGACGAATCAAATGTGGTAAATTCACGTGAATTGAATTATTGGACATGTCACTCCCCTGACACGGGTCATGGGACTTTCTGAATTAAGTATGACTATTAACATTCTTTCTAAGCGGTTTGCATGCAGATTAGCACAAATAAATTTTTTTTCCCTTTTTTTCAGAAGACTTCTTTTTATTGTGTAATCGAGACCCTCCCTCATCATTTTCTTACTCGTGATGGATAAAAAATGAAGAGAACTTTCAGAAAAAGAACGCAATGAGATCATTGGCGCTTGGAAGTGCGGAGTGCCGATTCCTACTATTATAAATACCCTAAAATTTGAAAAAACTACTGTCTACGGGATTATTAACACTTATAAAAAAACTGGTGAAATAAAACCACCTTCACGCCCCCGGACCAAAGCCTAAACTAACTAACGAGACACACATCATTTTGTTCGTTAATTAAAGACAGATTGAAAAGTTTCCTTAAATAATTTAACTAATAAATTTATCGAGTCGACTTCTACCAATGTTTTCTCACGTAATATACAATGTTATTTGCATGAAGAAGGATTTTATGGTTGAGTTGGCAAGAGAAAACCTTTCGTCAATGAAAGAAATTGCAAATTACGTTTGGAATAGTCTCGAGAAAGAATTAATTAGAAGGAGGAGTGGAAATTCATCATATAGAGCGACGAATCACGGTTTGAAGCATTTAGGAAGATGGTCATGATTATATTTGGAGAAAACTGAAGAGAAATGTGATGTTAACTGTTTAGTTCCAACCTTTAAATCAGGTCGCAAGGGGGTCATGGTCTGGAGATGTTTTAGTTCATTTGGATTGTGTCCTCTAGTTCGAGTTAATGGTAGGCAAACTGCAAATGACTATATCAATGTTTTAAATAACCATTGGTTACTTTATTTAGGAGAGTTGGATAATCAAAATAATTATGTATTTCAAGATGACAATGCTCAAATTCATCGAGCAAGGTCAACTTTGCGTTGGATTTCGGATAATAATATTGATCAACTTCCCTAGCCCGTGCAAAACCCAACCTCAACCCTATTGACAATATTTGGGATGAATTAGAGCGTTGTATTCGTAAGCGCATTCCTCTACCAAAAAATGAAACTGAACTGTTCAATCTGTTGCAAGAGGAATGGTCTAACATAGATGAATCAGTTTATGGAAATTTGGTTGAAAGTATGGAGCGCCGTGTTCAAGCTGTAGTTAAAGCTAACGGGCATCCTACACCTTATTGATAAAGTCAAATAAACTTCATTGATGTAACATTTCGATAAAAAAAACCTGACGTAAATTGCTATGTAGATTGTTGAGAATTTCGAACTTTGAAATTTTATAAAAAATCAAGCATTATTATATTCGGAAAAAAGTCCCATGACCCGTGTCAGGGGAGTGTACACGCTCCGAGATGAGCGAATTGATTTTTTGACTTGCTTCAAAAAAAAGTCATCTGATAATAGTAATAAAAAATCACATGTGGATGCGTTCCGAGATAACTGATCAATTTTATGATGAAGATTGCCAAGTTGCTAGCTAATTTGATAATTATCATCACAGCTTGCAAAGTCTGGTGACAATTTTGTTTCCATGAATTTAAACTCATATATATCATTTTTTCAGTAAAATAATGTGCTGTTTATAGGAGCTTTCAGAAAGTGATCAGATTGACTTCCAAATTGAATATTTTATCAAAAAACTAGTTTGAATACAACAAATATTTCACACAAAATTAAAAAAAAAAAGGCTAAGGGAATTTATAAGAAACCAATAAAAAACACATTTCAGACATATATTAAAAACTAGTATACGTCAGCAAGATATACATGTATGTATCAAATATTAGCGGTCTGTCACATATAATTACTAATTAAAGTATCGGCATACATGTATTTAACAATTTAAAGTATCGGCATACATGTATTTAACAATTACATGTATAAAATATTTTTAATTTTATAAAAGCAATGTCTTATAAAAAATGCTTTTACATAATGATAACATTAGAAATTTATTTTTAAAACATTAAAAGGTTATTCATTATATATATTAATATTTGGAAAAATAAAATTCTAAAATTGTCACTATCGCTATGTGTAAAGGTGATATGTTTTTATAAAATTAAAGATATTGAATAATACTTAAGAAACTAACGTTTATTTTATACATGTTAATTAAAAGTACATGTAGTCAAATATTTATTTGATTACATGGTCTCCTCTTTCATCACCTCATCTTCTACATATCAATTCGCTCCATCTAATCATTTGTCATTTAGTGATGAAATGAAGATTTGAATTCACAATATTGTATGCATGTAACCGTAAAGTATGATCTTCACGGATTGCTAACATTGAAAAATCAATGGAAACAAAGAATTGTTGAGAAATTCTCGAATTTATAAATTCTATCAATAGTTGCTAGAAATTGTAAAATATTTAAAAATCGCTATCCAAATATTATTTTTGCACAAATGTTATTCCATATAGAAAATGCTTACTAACTCTAACTTGTGACATGAGATCTAGTGTTTCTTTGAAAATAACAAAAACGCTACTATTTATAAATACTGTCTGACGAAAAAACTTGTATATACACATACTAAAGAAATAACACAAATTTCGTGTTTAAATAAATATTATCAGTAGAGTAAAAAATTAATCTAACATTTATAAATGAGCATTCCGCACGAAAAGTAATGACGGTTGGTGTTTTAAAGACCATTACACAAAGTTTATATAGAATGCCTAGTCTTTCTAAAGGAGATAATTATGTGGTAAAATTTTTCCGTCATTATTTTCTATGGGACTGATAAAAACCATATAAATAACGGAACAATAAAGATTCTGGATGGTAAGTAGATTATTTATATAATATTTAGAATTTAAAAATAAATTAAAAAATTTAACTATCAATTTGAAATTTTTTTTCAAAATTAAAAGATTCAATAATTTCAGCAGCTATATCATGTCCATTTTCATTAGCCTTTTGATACCATTTTAAAGCCATTTTGAAATTCCTGGTAAAATTTTCCAATATTAAATTGTGCTTTTTTGTGTCCAGATTCAGCTGCCCTTAAATACCAATCAAATGTTTTATTATCGTCTTTAATGGTACCTTCTCCGTCTTCATAGCATTGCCCAAGTCGAAAATTTGAATGTAAATTGACATTTTTGGAGGTACTTAAAAGATAGTTAAATAAAATAATTTCCATTTCTTTTGTTATTGAATCCCTTTTATAACTAAATCTTAATAAAAATTGGCTAAAATATTATCAGAATGAACATATTTTAAATCAATTTCAAATGCCTTGTCTACATCCTTTTCTATACCTATTCCAAGTTCATAACATCTGGCAACAAAAAATTGTGCTTGAGGATCTCCAGACTCTGCTGATTTTAAATACCATTCGAATGCTTTTTATTCATTTTTAATTGTTCCTTCGCCATTTTGATAACAGAAAGCAAGATTATACTGTGCTTGAGGAACTCCAGTCTCTGCTGATTTTAAATACCATTCGAATGCTTTTTTTTCATTTTTGATCATTCCTTTTCCATCTTCATAACAGAGAGCAAGATTATATTGTGCTTTAGAAAATCCAGATTCTGCTGACGTTAAATATCATTCGAATGCTTCAATTTTATCATTTTTAATCTAAGCTTTATCGTTGTATAAAATGCCAATTAGATATTGTGCAAAAGCATCTCATTGAGTTGCTGTTTTTTGATAATATTGTAAAGCTTGATCATAATCTGTTTCAATATTCAAACCAATATGATAAATGAAGCCTAGAATTGTTGAATATTGTATATTAATTTGCAGCATTTCTAAAAGATTTATTTTATCATGGATTTTTGTGTGTTTTCCAAAATAATTGTAGCAAGCTTAATTATAACTGTTTCAAAATTTTCATTACTATTTTTGACAGTGTTGTCATTTGGACATGTCCAATAAAAAATTGACTGGACAATTTGTTATTGGACAACTGGACATATCCATTTAGTGTCCAATTGAAATTAGATACAGTTGTCATTGGACATATTTTGATTATTTAATATAAAAGTTTGGACTATGTCCATTTGGACACTGTCCAATTGGAATAAAAATATATATATAATTATAACAAATTTTATTTGAAAATAAACTTTTTATTTTATACTAATTCTTATTCACTATCTAATAATAAACTATAATAGCTTGGTTGTCCAAAAGATATATTAAACAAATCTTTTATATTTCATTTTGCGTTATCATCATCAGCTGGATGCAAACCTTCTTGAACTTGCTTCAAAGTATTCATAAAATCATTATTACCTTCAGTATTAACTTCATTAAGTGGTTCCAATAAATCTTGATCATCCTCAAAACTTTCATTCTCAACTAATTCCAACCAATATTTTACCATAGATTTCCAATCATTTATCGATATAATATTTCCATCAGATTCTTCATGGTTGAAATTTGTTGATTCATCTGAGTTTGATTCTGTATCTTTATCCGAGAGAGTATTAGACAAGTTATCAGTTATTGAGCTTTGTTGAGTATTATTATAAATTGGCCTTATTGCAATATTGGAATTTCGAATTTGAGTAGTCTGTTTTTCTACATCTTTAAATCATCATTGTTGTATAATCTCTTCTCATAATTGAGACATTTTCAATACCTTTTCCAACTATAAATAAAATATTAATATACTAATATTTAATTTTAAAATTAATAAATATTTTACCTTTAACTGATTTCTATGTGTATTATGAATCCATCTCATTGATAAAAAAAGTTGTTCAACAGATGCACTTGAAACTGCTATTGAGAAAATTCATATTGCCACTTTATGTAGTTCCATAGTATAACCATTGATATGATTCCAATATGACAATGAATCTTTGAATTTGTTGAAAGTTTCCACATCAAATGGATATTTTTCATAACGATAAGCTTCCAATTCTGTGAGAATACATGTAGGTTGTTGTTTGAACCAGGTAGAGTAATAATATTTCACCCATTTTCCAAAATGCACCCATGTCAACCAATTACAAGACTTGTTGAATTTTGAAATATGAAAATCAGGATGTAGTACAAATGGCAAAAATAAAAGTGACTGTTTCCAAGATTTCTATCATTTTTGCAGTTTGGATAAAAGGTAGTCTTTAAGATCTTCATCTTCTAATCCTTTCAAAACGTGTATTATCCAAGAGAAACTATGAAGTACTTCATGCAGTCTTGCTCCATCAGTTTGTAGTTTGTTAAGAGTGGCACAATAAGGTGATATAATTAATTCCAATTGCTTTAAATTTCACCACCAATCATTATTATTTAGGTTGTTTAGTATGTTGAAAGAAAAGTCATATAATGAAGCGTCAGTTGCATCCTTAATTTTAGTCATTAAATGCTATATAAAATAAAAATTATATTATTAATAATATATTCTAATATTATAAATATCAATAAATTATATATAGTATATCTACCTTTAATTCTCCTTTTGTTTTTAAAATACTAGAAAAACACAAAAAATGACTATTCCACTGGGTATTATTTGAAGTTACCAAAGCTACAAATTTTCCATTATAGGCTGCAGCTTGCTTGTCAAGTAATTTTCCATGCCAAAACTCAGATTGGTGAAAAAATATAACAACTTTAATAGCCTGTTCTGCAATTTCTGAAAGCTGATTCGATTTTTTGAAGATGTCTCCTACACAAAGATTCATTTGGTGTGCAAAATATGGTAAAAATAACTTTTCTCGACACTCTCTTCTTAAACATAATCTAAATAATGATAAATTTTAGAAAATAAATTAAAAATAAATTCAATAAATAACTAAATACCTTGCTGCTGCATATTCTGCTGCTGAATCTGTTACAACACCAATTACTTTAATTCCTTTATCTTCAATACTTTCAATAAGTCTCTTAGTCAATTGAACAACTATTTGTCACTTTTTTTGTGTTCTGGACAAATTTTCAGCATCCCAAATCAACCATTTTCCTTCAGATGTTACCAAAACAACTTCAAGAATAGACTGTTTGGCAACATTCTTCCAACTATCATAAGCTAGTGTGACCCCCAATTCATCTTTGGTAGCTGATTTGATAATTCTATTCTCAATAGCTTGTGTTTCATTATGCAAAATATGCCCCGCCAACTCTCATCATCCTGGCAATTGGACCATTGAATTGCAAAAGTGAAATAATGCTTGTACCTCAGGATTTTCAACCCAATTGAATGACCAATTTGCAGAAATTGTTGCACGAATTGCCAATGATTCAAGTTTTCTTTTTTGTGCATCATTCAAAAGTCGTGAAATAAAGTTATCCAATGTTTTGTTATCACCTGCTGGAGTAACATGCTGTTTTTTATTGGATTTTGATGTTGTTGCTTCATTTGATATATCAAAAAATTTAAACATAAATTTATTAGCATTTAATAGTTTTAAATATTACATTTAAAATCTATCTATTACCAGCTTGTTTTCATTTTTGATTCAAACTTATGGAAAAATCATATTCATCATCATATAATATGCGTTGGCGTTCTTCTTTATTGTATTTTTGAATAAAATGAGGACATTCTTTTAAATGGTTTCGACAATATCTTTGAGTATTAGTAAATTTGTCTTTTAATGCTTCTTCTCGTCCTTTAGCCTCAATACATAAGAGACAAATAGCATATCGGTTACAAGTATTTGAATATTCATTTAATATTTCAATAAAACCTGATAACCGATGCTTTTTGGGTGGCATATTGTGTGAAATAACAAAAAATTTTACGATCTCAATTGTTTCCATTTAAAGTAAAAAATTTTTTATTTCCAGGGATATCATACATCAAAGTTGTACAATTTTTTTATAATACAAAGAGAATCAGGTTAAGCGTATTGAATAGAATAATAAAAAATTTTACGATCTCAATTGTTTCCATTTAAGGTAAAAAATTTTTATTCCCGGGGATATTATACAGCGTAAAGTCAAAACGTAATATGAATCTGCGGGTAGCCAGGGGGGAGTGGGAATCGATAGAGTAGTACAGATTTAAATAGGAAGGGGTCGTTATCAATAGCATAATTGTGATATCAAATTGCGGGGCAGAAACGTGTAATTAGCCATAATAGGATAGTTGTACCAGCAAGCATGTAGACGAGTTGCAGTGGGAATAAAGACGCACTTACATTGTAAGTAAAGCATTACTATTTAGTTATATAGTTTCTCTGACTCCATTCTCTCTCGTGGGTTAGAAGCGTGGAAGTAAGCAATAGCAGGCGGGGGGCTGTGGTCTCCCTTTTCTCACGTTATAAGCATGACGAGGCACAGGGCCTCCATTTCTCGTGTTGCAAGCATGGGAGAGACATTCATCTCGATTTCTTGTGTGGCAGATAGTAAGGGCATATGCTCTATTGCTCAAGCAGCGGCAGCATAGCATCCCTATGAAAACTCGTTGTCCGAAAATCGGCTGATAATCAATCGATAAAATGTCTGATATTTGTGCTCAAAGTGAGCCCTTCCATCCCTTTTCCGCATGCATAGAACATTTTCTGTATGAAAAACGGTTGTGTAAAAACATTGTTTTAAATTCTGGATGTTTATCATACAAAAACGAGCTCAAAGTGAGTCCATCCCGTATCTTTCCGCATGCAAACACCAGCATATGCATTATTGGTAGCATTAATAAAGCTTAACAGTAATATCCCTTCTCAGTAACCACTGTTCAATTAAATAGAATGAGTTTTGTTATAGTAATTTTATAAATAAAGATACGATTATATTGTAATATAAAATTCATTAATTATATTGTCCAATTAAAAAATTTATATAGTCCAATTAAAAATTTTTGGACACTTTGGATTTGTCCAGTTGGACACATTGGACACGTGTCCAATTGGATTGGACAAATTTGTGACTACACTGATTTTTGACGATATTGTTAAAGTCAATCAGTAAATCATTAATTATATTTGTAGTTTCCATATCAATTTGTTGGTCCATATTTTGATTTTCTGTTGCGTTTTTGCTATAATAAATGGAGGGTTGCTCTCATTTAAATTTACAGATAAGGAAATCGCAGTATCAATATGTCGTCATGCTAGATTTTTTTCAACCATTTTTAGTCGTCTATGTAAGATATGATTTGGTATCGGTATTGTACGACTAGGTCAAATGAATACTATTTTCGCCACTGCACGTACGCGAATGGGCATTATTTCGAGACATAAAGTCAATTTCCTGCTAAACCTATGCGTTATATATGAATATTTTTTTACTTTTCTTTTTTTTATTTTTTTCTTGTGATACAGGACGAACAACCCATAATATAAAATGTGTTCGTTATTTCTTTTTGTTTGTTTCGCACGCAAGTTTTTATTTTATTTGCAAGTGAACATGAGCACAAAACGAAGTTATCCACTCGAGTTTAAACTTGAGGTAATTTCATATATAGAAGCTACATTCAACTGTCATGCTTCTTTATATTACAAAATCGATTGGAAACGGGTTCAAAAATAGCGACAACAAATAAAGCGTTCGAAACTGCGCCGGGTCGAATTTATATTAAAAAATATGATTTATACAGGTGGATACGCGTTATTTTGGCACGCCCATGGGCATTATTTCGCGAAAATACAGTACATGTAATTGTTACCATTAGCATGTGATAGAAAATTCCCTAATTGCGTCCAAGAACCCACATCAGTGATATTTTGTCATCATTCCACTCAATAAAAAATGTATATGAACGATACATGTAATAAAAAAGTTTAGAAACATTGTCCAAGTTAACACATTTAGCATATTTAGAAATTTGTTAAAGCATGCGATTGATACCTAGCCATGGCAAAAGAAAAGTGAGTATACGATATGGATTGATTGATCAGATTAACTGAACAATATAAAAATCAAATCTAGCACATAAGTTAGATTGACTAAAAACGCGCTAAATTTAACATTAATACATGACAAATTAAATAAAACGCGTTAAATTTAGCATTGATAATGACTGCCAATACTAAATCATTTTCAACAATTGGTCCATGATTCGTAGCAACCCACACTCCGTTCGTGTTGTTTATATTGCTTAGAACTCTAATAGTAGTTTTAATGTTAGAACTAAATTTATATAAAAAGCTATTTAAGATGAGTCGTCTTTGCCAAGTGAATTCCATTCACAACTACCAATAATCGTTTCCTCATCTTTTTACGCGAATAGCAACAACAGTTGGACCATTATTATCACATAAATGATTATATTTGGTATTCTTAAATTCATCACGACTACCATTTAATAGCAGCCTCAATTCGATTGATTTGTTTTTCTGAGTGCCATCTGTTTCTTTAATCTAATAAATTATTTTATGAATCTGATCCTGCGAAAGGATTAAAGAGTCAGTAGTTATTTTGCCGTGAACTGGGTTATAAAGGTAACCTTATGCTCTTCATTTCCCGGCAAAATAATGGTGCAATAAATCTTTAGAGTGCTCCTGGAAAAATCTCATTACAGGGTATAACTTTTTTTATAAAAACCAACAGAATTGATATGGAAGAAACGAATCAATGGTAAGCAATTTTTGAGTGTTGTTTAAATTCTAGCATCTGCAGCTTTTGAGCTTACCATTCAAGTGCCTTTTCCCAAAGGTCAACTCCTCCATATTAATGTCATCACAACTTGGTTGATTAAAAATAACAGTTGGATTTTGACATGTGATGTCTGTGCATCTTAATTTGGATAGATTCAATCAGAATCAACCCATCGGCTACAACTATGAATTGTAAATCAATTTTTCCGCAGCAATATATCTATCAAAAATTTTAATCAGGCCAGTTTTATTATTAATTTTACTTAACAATATCGTCTTATTCTTTATCATAAAATTACCTTAACAATATTTCAAAAACTCGAGGTTCGATATTCAAACACCAGAAAGCGCAGCAAAATCAAATATGCGTATAGTCATACTTGTCGTTATACGCACTGTATGTATTGCATAGTTGTCATGTACACTCGGTGGACAAAAAGTTTGGAATCGGGGGGGGGGGGGGTAAGTTGCATCGTTATTTGTGCAACACACGGAAGTCCAATTTTAACGTTCAATATCTCTTTAGAAAGCTAAAATCATAAGCTTTAAAATGATATAAAGAATTTCGAACTCAACCAATACTTGCAGAAATTGCCAACTTACGGATTTTGAGTGTGGCGAGATAGTTGGCGCTTGAAAGTGTGATTTTTCCGAACAAGAAATCAGAGAAACTCCAGAACAACCCAAATCTAAAGTTCATAACGTCATACAAAAATATAAAGAGTTTGGCCGAATCACAGTTTCTGCCCGAAGCGGTAGACCACCAATATTAAATGATAGAAATACTCGAAGAATAATCAATATTGTAAAAGAAAACCGCAACAAGCAGTTGAACCGAAAAATTCAATAATTCAATATGGTTTGGAAATTTCGGTTAGTTCTAAAACTATACGTCGTAATCTTCACGAAAATGGGATTTTTGGTCAGGCTGGTCGAAGAAAACCTTTCATATCTGAGGAAAATCATTGAAAATGATTAAAATGGTTCTTGAATGGGAATTAGTAATTTGGAGTGATGAATCCCATGAAAAATATGATGTTGATTGTCTTCTTCCTAGTATGAAATCAGGTAATCGGGGAATAATGATATGTTGACGTTTTACCCAAAATTCATTCGGACCACTAATCGAAGTTGGCGGTGCAATAGCTGGCTAAAAATATGTAGAATTGCTTGAACAGCATCTTCAACCATTTTTAGATCATTCTTTTCAAGATGATAATGCGCCGGTTCACAGAAATTATCATGTTGAAGAATGGAGAGAGAAATTTAATAACTTCACTTCCATGTCCTGTCCTAAGTCCTGTTCTAAATTCAATTGAGCATTTATGGGATGTTTTGGAAAGACGAATTCGTGCATGACCAACACATCACAAAATCCGGAAGAATTGATGGAGGAATGGAATGAAATCGAAAATTTTAAAAATTTGGTTGAAAGTATGCCGAGGAGAGTGCAAGCTGTAATAGACGCAAATAGGCATCCAACCAGATATTAAAATATATGTATGAATAGCCCTACTTTAGTTGAATAAAATGATCTATTTTTCTCGTAATTTATTTAAAGAGAAGTTGAATAATATTAATTTTGTGACCTACATTGCTGATCATTTCACGATTCCAAACTTTGTCCGCAGTACAGCTAATGATGGGACTTACCGATTTACTATGCGCACTATGCGCATAATGCAATCTATATACATGTACATGTACATGTACATGTACATACATAATGACCCCTATTGCGACTGTATCACTGAAATTGTGGAGTAGCTGAAAAAGTTCCTATTGTAGTTTTCATCAAAAATGATCGAAATGTCATAATAATTCGAATTTTCTCTATTTGATGTGAAGTCAATAACAAATTTTCATCGATTTAATAAGAACTATGTATCGTTAATAGTAGCATTCCTTTAATTAACGAAAATTTATAAATGATGACTTTGCCCATCAATAAAAAAAGTAGAAATAAAATTGTGTACAGTGTTTCTCCAAATAATAAAGACTTGTAAAACCCCTCGTGATAATTGTAAACGTAACTAACGGTTAGGTACTTGATCCAGAAATGGCAGCTTCTCGTTAGAAATTGATTGATTACATGTAGTTTGAGGAGCTAAGGCTTTTGTCTAGAAAAAGAATTGTTAGAATTAATATCGAAATAGTTCATAAGACATAATTTTCCACGCTCGCCCTTCCGAAATATTTTACCCTAACCCAAAATTCTACTCAAAATGATCCTAAAATTCTCTCAACTCACACGCTCAAATCATTTTATTTTTTTCTTGTATCGCACATATTTAACGGCACAGGAATTAAATTATAAACGTTTATAATTAGTCTAACTATTCTCCTAATTCTTATCACAAGTAAAATCCTCAAAACCCTTCAAATACATTACTATGACAGTATTATTTAAAATTTGAGACTCCTCGTGTTAGTATGGTTAATTCTCTGAATTAAATTGAACTTTGGCTATGCATTTATAGCATATAATCAAGACATGGCGCTTAACACTTATTTATATCACTGTATAGCTAACGTTGATAAATGCTTAGTAAGGAACACACATTTGCAGTCTTTTAAATCTTAACTGTTTATATTGCTTAAAGTTGATCAATTAATCTTTAATGTATTATTGGGCTGGAACATTAGAAAATTCGAGAACTAAAATTACGAATTAAATTTCTCAAAAAAGTATTTTATTTTCAAATTCCAACACTGATTTTCATGTATGTTGCTCCAATTGTTCATTTGATTCTTTTATTTCTTTTATCATTTTCTATAAAAATTTTAATTGATCATATTACATCCATTAAACATCTATTTTTTATATTAACTGAATGAATGTCGAATAAAAATACTGATATACATGCAAAATTTAAGTTGCCTCATGTATTTTTATTTTACATGGACAAAACTCAGCCAATAATAAAATGATTCACGTTATATATAATGCTGAGATTTAAATTATTTCTATTAAATGACAGACCTTTAAAAATTTTTAATTATTATTACATAAAATACGTCACTTTATATAGAGCTTATTAAGGAATATTTGATAATGTATTTGTTTATGATTATATACACGATATAAAATAAAAATCCGTTACAGTGTAAAGTATTGACTACCATTAGACACATATATAATATATATGTAAATGACAAAAGATGTTCATTTACGGGAAATATAAACATATAACTCATGCAACTATGTTAAGCTTTAGTTTTTCTGTTATATCGAAATTGTATATTATCATTATCGTCTGGTCTTCGTGAAACGTGATACGCAATTGAATCTCATTCAAAAAAGGAAATTTTTTCTTATCTTTTATTGCGGTACCGTTAAATTTTGCTCCAAGTTTAAAAAGTACAAAATGCAGCTACACGTGCGTTAAGGAAAGATATTTCGGATCCTATCACTTAAGGGTGCAGTATTAGTGCAGTATCTTTCGATCGAAATTCTCTTTAAAGTAATAACTCGTTGTCCTATTATTAAAGTATGTTGTGTTACCGTTACATTCTGTAAACATGTACAGCAATGTTTATACATGTACATGTAAATGACGATAACGATATAATAAGAATGATAAAAAATTTTGAATTGTTATAATAATCAATCAATCAATTTTTTCTTTGGATCTGTATGTTGATGAGTAGGAGGAAAGACTTTGATGCGCAGCAATATTACGTTGTAAATATTATCTACGCATTTGTAACGTCCATCCGTTTATCGATTTTCATTTTCATTTCTTAGGTTAGGTAAAATATCATCTCGATGTATATCTTTTATAAACATTTTTACCAAAAGATTAATAAAATTATTATTTATTCAGATCGAAAAAAATATGGAGTCATTGCCAATTGAAATACGACAAGATATATATAAAAAATGCGATATAGCATCACTATCCAATTTCCTCCGAGTTAATAGACAATTTTGCCATGAAATAGTGCCAATTCTTTGGGCCGACCCACTAACAGTAGGAAAGAGGTCGTTGTCACCTCAAACGAGGCAAACGGAATCAGCAACACTTGCATTTCCAGATAATACCGCAAAAATTATAGATGTCTATGTCGCGGATTTCTCTAAAGATACTTGGAATAATCTTCGTAGCTACGGAATCCAACCACCATTAGATCTGCAAGCACCAACATTCAAATACGTTTCATTTTTGCGTCATTATGAACCGAGAGCGGTAGATTTTGCAGCAGGCGCGTGGTTAAAGAAGAATCAGCGCATAGATCAAAAGAAACGCAGAATATTCGTAGAATCGTTGTGTCATCTCTTGCTAAACAATGCCAAACGCATTCAATCGTGTTACTATGACGTGGAAAATGATGTTGACTTTTGGGGCTCGATTCCTCGAGAACGCTCAAAGTATTTAATTTTTGAAAATCTCAGAGAATTGAGAATAAAAGGAATCCATGAAACCACCAATTTGCGAGATTTCTTTGAAAATTTTGCTGAATATTGCCATTCGCTGTATGGAATCAAACTCGACTGTTATAAAGATTCGGACATTACCGAAGAGATAAATGACACTTATATCGGATTACGAAATGTGATCGTAGCGCAAAAAGATTTTCAATGGCTTGAACTTACCCATTCATCCGCCTTTGCTATCAAATTTGTCAGTAGTAGTTTTGATGCCTTGTCGAATGCACTAAGAGCGCTCAGATTTTACAGAATTGATTTTGGCGCATTCAAAACTGAGAGTATCTTCCTGGGGTTAAAATTTTGCAATAATCTTGTCGCTTTAGATTTCTTCGAGTGCATGAAATTAGAACAAGAAACGTGGATCAATACAGCAAAGTATTTCAAGAAGCTAGAATTTTTAGCTATTGAAATTCGATCAGCGGATTCAATGCCACTCGAATTCATCAATAAAATAATTAGAACAAGCGATCAGAATCTTCAGCATCTTTTGGTTTCTCAGAATGCGCGTCTTTCCGTATTTGAGAAGAATTATATAACTCAGACGCTCATACCATTGATCTTGAAGCACAGCCGAAATCTCCGCACCGTCAATTTCCCGGATTTTAGAATGGAGAATGCAATCACTCTTCTGGAAAATTGTTCAAAACTCGAGCACGTTGACGTTTATTCGTCAGATCTTGATCAAGCTTTTAGAACAATGGCTGAGAAACTTCCAAATACTTGCGTATCTATTGGATTCCATGATTTATCGTTTCTTTTGGAAAATTTGGAAGAGTATGAGGATGTTATAATTGAATTTCTGGAGGCAACCCATCATCATTTAGCATATTGTTCAATCTATCCCTACAACCTCAATGATTTCACACTTGATGAAAAGATTTTCAAATATGGTGTCAGCCTGGAGAAGAAGCCCGTGTATGAAAGTAAGATTTTTACATTTTGATCCATTTTTATTATTTGCATTGATCAAATTCACCATCGTTGTTTATGAATTACATAGGAATCTCTCCAATCTATTTTCCTCGATTTTAAAAATTCAATATACTCGAATCACAGTACAAATATAGAATGCGTATATTGAAAAGAAGTTTTGATTTTAAAGCTTAGAATTTTTATAATGATAGTTCTTTATTTATTTAAAACTTCATGTAATTAGAAAGCATATTTATTTTATTTATTTATTTTTTTCTTCTAATAATTTGCATACGTAATTTAGCTAGCTGTCCTATATTTTTGTGTTAATCTATGTACAGTAACCTATTTTATTTCCTAGAAATGCATGTATCGAAATACTGTAACTACATGTATAGCGATAATATTTACACAAATAAAAATTAAGTAGCTTTGCATTGATACATATCGAGAAAATATGTGAGAACCATTCAAATACCAACAGTTACCAAAAAAGTATCTGCTCTTGAATACATGTATAAATATTGTTTCACATATCGATATCAATATCGCTAATGTAGATTTTTTTGATACATGTACACTATATGAGTCACTGTAATATTTCTTTTCCATCTGCAACTTTGCTCCAATATGGAAGAATCAGGCGTATCCAGTACGTGGAATATATCGATACATGATTCAGTCAACGGAAGAGCCGGAAAAAAGGATATCAAGAGTTTTTTTACGGCATCTTTATTCATTCTTTGTCACGACCGAAGAAGGTTGAAATAATCGAACGTGGCGTATTGGCCATTGATGAACTAGGAATAATCGTGTTTTTGAGAAGGATATTTCTCATAACCGATTAAAAGATCTTTTACGTGACTGGAAGGTGGTTGAGAATAAGGTGAACCATATCATCAAATTTTCTCTTACACGCATAAATGAATTTAGGTGATAATCCTCGAAGAGCACCAATTCTTAATGTCTGGCCTCATTGGCACACACAATCAAACGCCGCAATACTCAAACACCGCGGATCCAGTGGCTAGAAGGGTACACATACCCTCTCAAAAAAAATTCTCTTTCTTCATTCGCCGAGAGAATCTATCAGACCGTGGTGAAACGTCTTTTACGCTGCGGTACCACGACTGCCGTGTATTTTGCAACCGTGCACCTCGAAGCATCTCTGAAGCAAAAAACAACGTGCGTATATTGGTATAAATAATATGAATTGGAAAAGGGGAAGCACCAGATGATCTTAGAAAAATATCGAAGAAGTGTGCTGAGGACACTAAGCCCTTTATCAATTACGTGTTGTCAAAGAACGAAGAATCTAAACAAAGGCCATTGGTAAAACCGGTCGTGCAGTCACGAAACGCGGTAAGCTGCATAAGAGAATTATTAGACTTGTTGGACAAAATCACGAAAGAGCACAGTGAAATTTTCATTAAAAAGGACGGCAAAAAGTGTGGTGTACTGATTCAATCACATTTATCCATCCGAGAACAAAACGTGTCAAGATATATTTTCTACTTAACGCTCGTGTGTACGATCACTGTGGCCACATTTTTTATATAATTTCATATTAATTAATATATTCAAGTCAAGCCAGCTATAACCATCATTGAGAAGTAATTTAGTAGCAGCAGCTTTTTCATCCTCTTGATATTGCAATATATTCAGCAATATCATCTTCTCAAATGAAACAGAGAATATTACTTTTATAAATTTCATTGCAAGCGGCTAGCATACATTGAAAACAAGGAGATCTTGATCTCGGAGTTTCTTTTTCCTCCATGATTTATCTTAAAATGAGCTATTTTTTCTTGTAAACATTGTTATAATACAGAATCATTAAATATACTGTGTTAAGAAAAATATTTATTTTCTTTTTATAGAATAATCTATGGAAACTTGTTCAGTGTAAAATAATAAAAATTTTATAAAAATAATAAAGTTTTATCTTATGAATTATAAGAAATCCACATACTGATACTGTAATTTTGTAATTTCTCTGCGATTAAAGTGTCCATAGCGATAACGATAATGACAGGTTTAAAATTGAATCTCGGGATTTCAACAAAACTGGTTGCTAAAAAGTTTGTATAATAAAGTTATCAGAGCCATACTTTTTTAAAACAAACTGTTCGTTATATCAGAGTCGTTAATTCAGGCACAAATTAACTTTAAAAGCTCGAGTTCCAAGTTGTTATTTACCGTATTTAGGCATTTACGGTATAACAAAGTATGGATAATTTATTGAAATTTCATATCGATAATAAATGTGAGCTGCTAGATTGAAAGAGACAAAAATCAAGTAGTATTCAACACACACTATATAAATACAAATTTATAAACCCTCGATCCATCCGTTCTCAATCCGTACCAGTTCTTCTTCTTCGGGCGTAAAGTCTTTCTCAATATTGAATGATGCTCGAATTTCCTCAGGAGATTTATCACGGATCATGTTTGCAACTTTCTTACAACCGAGGTCACTAGTAAGTACATAGGAAGAGAGGTAATAAAGGTTAGCTTATCTGTTTAATTTTAGTTAATAAAGACACGAACTTACAGCAATGATTTGATTTCCAAATAATTTGCAGCCTGAATTTAAAAAGCATTAAACTAACAAGTATCATAAATTTTTTTGTAATCGCAAAATATTAAAAAATAAAATCCGTTACCAGCGTGATGTCGAGTAAGAGATCATGTTCAACTTCAATATAACGTTCATCCCATTCGCTGATTATTATTTGGCCTTCATTAACATGATGTTCACACCATTCAATTACCTAATCCAAAAAATAGCATAAAGTCAAAAATGCTGAAATTTCCTGAATAGAGGAACAAAATTATTTTGCCTTTTCTAAAACGTGTCCTCTGATATTAGCAATAGGAATAACTTGGTTTGACAGACCGAGATCTTTTATCAGACATTTTATTAATTTCACGATCCAAAAAATTTGTGAGATACTATATGCAAATATGCAATATTTATCATATCGTACCTGTAAGCAAATTTTTGATTACAAGGGAAACACTTGCAACCGCTAAATTAACTCGAAATTCTTTGCCATCGCTGCTCTGAAGCGTCACGTATTGAATTTGCTCGGTTTTATCTGTGCTCATTTTTAATATTAAAAGAGAGGTTTATTGCGAGAAATTGATCAAGTGACATGTAACGGCATTTATCGTTATTGTTGTTGCTTACTAAACTTGGGGACACAGTTGCATTACTGCATGCTGAGTTATCCATACATGTACATGTACTCGTGCATATCAACCAAACACACACACGCTAACGTTAACGTCACTAAAAATGACCACGAATCACTATTGATTTCACATTCAAACAAGCTGGCCGAATTTTAAGAAAAAGGGCAACTTTTGCAGTCTCAATATTTTGTTGTACCACTTTCTGATGCGTGGGTAAATTATTTTCACATTTAAAATCTCATTGAGGTAAGCTAAACTATGTATATACAGTAACGTTCAAAAGTAACGCATCACTAGGCTGAAAAAACGAATCAGAGAATTTTTAGCAACATAGACGCCACAGGTAAATGAAATTTAGCCCATATATAGTTAAAAGCATAAATAGTACATGCAATTTAAAGGAATAAATGTAACCCACTTGCCTTTATTACGCCAAACTGATGATGATCGTTTCCCCCTTCAAAATTATTATGGCACATTCCCATCGACCCTTCTTAAAGAAGGACATTCTTCCTGTTATATTGATTGGAGCAAAGTCATCTGGTCAGATGAATCGAAACTTATGATTTTTAATTAAGATAGACGTGAATATTATTTGGAAACGTGATGATGAACCTTTGAAAGAGCATCACGTGAAACCTACAGTAAAATTTGGGTTGCTTCGGATTTTTCGACATTGGTAATATCATATGCATTTATGATCATATGGACTAGCCCGGCAATTTTTAATTTTCAATCATTAATCAAGTTCTCATTTTTTTTCATATTAAATAAATCTGTAAGTGAAATATAAGGAGGCGTAGTTAATTTACTTTTTTTCTAAGAATTTATATTGAACAATGACCTTTTAGGAACAATCCAGTGGTATGAAATAATAAAAATGATGTTGTCTTTCAACAAGACAATGATCGGCAAAATCTACGTCAAATGGTTTGATGATAATGATATCCGTTTGCTCGATTGGCATCTCCGGAATGAAATAGATCGTCATTTTGAGAAAGTCGTCAATTGGCAAGATCAACACTGGGATGCGATACAAAAATTTGGATTGAAATTGATAATGCGTTTTTAATGAAAGTATGGAAGAACGCATTCAAGATGTAATTAATGCAAAGGGTGACTATACTAGGTGGTATTTAAAATTGGTGGTTAAATTTTCATAAATTTATTTAGTTTATTGAGTAATTTCGATTTTATTTTATTTATCAAAACGATCAAAAGAAACGGATCGCTTGATTTGATGTAAAATGTGGTTTATTTTTTTTTAAATGTAGCGACATGAAAAATAAATATGATATATAGGCATGAAAATGAGCCTATTTATATATTGATTGTGAAACGTTATTAAATCGTGAAATTTATCGATATAACGGACCACTCGATTCTGACTATTTGGTCTATTGTCCGTTAATCGAAAATCGCCATTATAACGGGTCTTATCTAATAATTTGGGATTGATAAAACAATTTTTTTCTTTTAATAATAATGTTTATTAAATTGTAACTTCGATTAGACAAAAAATTGATGATATTAGTTTGTTTGTTTGTTTTTGAGCTATGCTTTCAGTGATAAGTATCTTTTGTAACTGAATCAAATTATAATAAAAGTCGAATCAAAACTTGATTCAGATTGCTTGATAAATCTAATAAGAATTTCAATATTATCCAATGCTTTATTAATCAAATTTTTTTTCAATTTCGTTTTTCACTATCAGCTTCATCTTCCAATCCCTTTCCAAACACCACATTTACAATTTTCTCTAGACTAAACTCTTCATGTTCAATTTATCATCAATATTTACAAATTCACATGCAGAAAGTGGTTTTGTATAGGTAACTCTTGAATTAATAATAGTAACTTCTTTCTCATTAATAGGTGATAAAAATCGGGTAAAAAGGAATATCAATATGAAAGAATATCAGATTGTGTCCAACTATGTTTAATTGTCTCTTTAGAAACATGCATGGTATTTCTCATTTTCTATTGTATTAGCTATTACTAATAATACTTATTTTCTAAATTTTTTTTTCCTTTAGCTGAACTATATATTAGAGTTTATTAAATTCAAGTATCTAATATAATATTATTTTATTATAGTTAAATATATATTAAGATAATAATCATTAATTATATCTTGAAATTACTCACAAAATTTGATATTTTTATAAGATTTCAAATTGATTTATTTTTAATTCAACTAATAAAAGTTAAAAGCTAACCAGAAACTTTAAATTCTTTAATAAATACCAAAACTTTTTCTATTAATAAACTATAATTCAAATTCAACTTATTTTATATTAGTATATTTTCAATTCAAATTTTTATTACTTTTTTAATATTATTAAAAATTGATTTTTATATATATTAGAATTTGACTAAAATTATTTCTGAATTAATTTATAATTATTATTCTTTTACTTTAACAATATCTATAATAATTTTCTTTTTTAATAAATTATAGTTGCTATATCATATTATTATATTGTATTAAGATTTATTATATTATATTACTTCATCTTTATATATAAAATTATTTAATTATTTTGAGTTATTATAGAATTTTTATTTTTCTTATTTTATATTATTAATTAATTAATTTTTAAATTATTATAATTTTTTATATTTTATATTATTAATTAATTATTAAGTATTTTACAGAAATATTACTTATATTAATAATTTATATAATTCTAAATTATTATTTAAAAATACTTTATATAATATTAATTTTCATTTTATTTTAATAAATAAAATATTAAATTGAATAAAATCTATTTACTTTTGAATTTATATTATATATGAATATATTTTTATTAAATTCTAATATTTATAACAAAAAAAATTAAAAATAAATTACTTTAATATTTTATAATTATTAATAATTTCTTTTTGTTTTAATATCTTATGTAACAATTTTGATTAGATTATCTTTCTTTAGATTTCTTTTAGCTTAGATTTTCATTTTGTGCTATCTGTATAACAGATTAGCTTTGTATTATATTTTTAAGAAGATCAATTTCACTCTGGATACACAGATGATCATTATGTATTTAATACATCTAGATTTAGTATATTGTTACTCAGATAATCACCATGTGTATTATAATTACAAATTTAGATTATTAATATTTAATTAATTATTTCTTTTAATAATTCTTTATTTTCTTACTCATTCTCTTTTATTATTATTTATATTATTATTTATTATTATTTATAATTATTATTACTTATTGAATTATGATTAGTTATCCTCTAAAGACGTGAATTAAGTTAATTAATTCTGTTCAATCATATTTATTTTATTTATAGATTTATTATTAATTTATTCATATTTCATATTTATTATTATTATTATTATTTTTTATTATTATTATTGTGATTATTATTATTCTAACTATTTTTATTCTTTCTTGAACTGACATATCTAACATTATAATCCAAAAATCAAAAATCAACTTTATATTAACAAAGAAATAAAACTAAGTGAAAGAAAGAATACTAGTATATTTCTTTTATTATAAATATAACCTGTTTGTTCTATAAAATAACTTCAGATCTGAATATTTTTAAATAATAAAAACAATTATAAATTATAAAATTAAAACTTATTTATATTATATTTTATCTTGTTTACAACTATTAACAAAATAATCTTATAACTTAATAATAATAGATATGGTTATTATAAATATTACCCTCTAATACCTTATATATTACATTACATGCTACATACTTTATATATATATATTTTAGTTTTAATAAATAATATTTTACCAAAATAAATTCAGAACAATTCATATAATTCATAACAAACATGACTAAATTAATCAAGATAATAAAAGAAGATGATCCTTCTAATTCTAAATTTTCATCTCATCTCTCAATTAAATTATCAACTTACTTAGAAAAGCCAAACAAAAATGTATTTATCTGAATCATGCAAGTTAAAATAATATTTCAGATCCAGAGAATCACAGATAAGAAAATTCAAATATAGTATACTATCACTTTCTTGACTAATGTAACTTTACATTGATATCTCAATAAAATTAAGATAGATAATAGTATTGAATCTTTTGAAAATTGGCAAGCTTTTGTTACAGCACTTAGAGAAGCCTTTCAATCATCATATTATTAATAACATCTCCAAAGACAACTTTATCTTCTTCATCAAACAGGATCTATACAAGACTATAATATAAAGTTCAGAAATATAGTTGAATAAATTACAGATATGAATACTTTAAATCAGGTTATATATTTTATAAAAGATCTAAAACCAATTACAAAGATAGAAATAAGTTACCAGATATCAGAAATATTAGAAAAAGCTTGAAAGTTAACTATTCACTATGACATAGTAATGTATGGACAAGACAGATCTCTAGGTCTAGCAAGCAGAAATAATAATAGTTATCACTTATAAAATCAATATAGAAATCATCAAATAATAGTCCAATACCAATGGAACTTAATCAGACAGAAAGTCATTATAATAATAGAAGAAATAATAATAATTAGAAGAATAACAAGTTCAAAGATATATATTATAACTGTGACAAATCAGATCACTTTGCAAAGAATTATTATTCAAAATCAAAGACCAAAATTGCAAATATTGAAGATAAACAAGAAGAATCTTCACAATCATATGAAAGAGTTGAGTTTGCTCATCTTAAAGATAATAGAGAAAGATTATTAAAATTTAATAGCTACAGTAGGGGACATAAGTAATTGACTCCTTGGAACTTAACATAATATAAAATTATAATTTTAAGTTTTACTCAAGAAAAAATAGTACAAATTCTAATTCTTGA